TCTAAAATCAATTAGCATATGTTGCTCATATTAGAATTGTTTATCACTTAATATAAATTTATGTATCGCACGGGTGAAAGACTAGTAATTATACAAACACCCTAATTTGTGATGAACTATAAACACATTAAAGATGCCAATCTTAAACTTACATTACCATCCGTGGGTCATTCAGACTTCTGAAGTATATTTTGTATTTCGCCAAGGGTGCACAAAGCTCCACTACTTAATTCAATGGAGAAATTTGAGCATCTTCCGCTAAGCTTAAAAGAAACTAAAAATATTACTTTTTAACTTTTTGTTCAGATTTTGGATGTGATTTTTAAGTTCTTCGAAATGGAAAAAGTTACTTGCATTGAAAGTAATTATTGCCTTACTATAAGAATAAGTCGAAGTAATTATTGCCAACTTTGACCCATAAGGGAAATTATTTATTTTAAAACTTACTGATTAACTTATAAGTGAACTTTTTAAGCTAAACAAAACAGTCTCAAAGTAACAAACAAATGACTGGCATGAGACTCCGCCAGGTGCTAACTGCTCCTTCACACAGAGAATACCGCCAACGAAGAAAACTGTATTTGTATCAGTGCTCAAGTTCTTGGATGAATTAACAACAACTGCAACATCTTGAGCATCGTCACAGTTCAATATTGACCAGCCATCATCACTGAATCCATTAATAGTGTCATTAAACTCTCTGCACAAGAGAACATATTAGATCATGACTATCATAACCGCATGCATAGTATAGGCTAAATTATAATATCATATCTCAATGCATAACCGAAATATATAGGCAGCTACCTGATTAGTCTCTGGCTAACAGTACGTAGAATAGCTAGTTGCCTACCAAGACCATATACCACCTCGCCATTTGTCTCTTGGGCTATTTGCCTAATATACTACAATGGCTATTTTAAAATGGAATGGAAATTAGGTTTCCACCATACCCAATTGGTCAAATTTTTCATTGAATTAAAATGATTTTACTTAAAAATACAGAAATTTAACTCCTTCAGAAACCAAATTTCAATGCCAAACTATTGCTTATATTATTATAGGAAATAAAATCTTTTGAAAGCATTGAAAATATTGTACACACTGTAATTGTCATTTTCTGTGCCACAACTTTTGAAGATTCATAAAAAGGTCTTAGCACCTCTGCCACACTTCAAGCCTGAAAAATGTTACTCGAGATGTCAACTAAGTTTTGGACATCGGCCTACTATCATGTTCTGTAATCTTGGAGGGTGGAACGACTTCTTCAAAAGAAGATGCCAAGTTTGAAATATTATAGCTTACATTCAAACTGATGTTCTCAATAAGCTCCCAAGAAAAGATGAAAAGGTGAAGACCTTTATTGATTTCGTGAGCCTCAAACAACAATTGACATGAAAATTAAATAGAACAATCACCATACATACTTGAAAAAAAATGAGAAACCATAAAATATACTAAAACGAATACCATTTCAAAATTTAGTATGTAAACTAAGATGATGTAGATTTGGCAATATTAGACAATAATAACTATAATAAAGAACTAAAATTTGAATGTTGTACCATTTTCTACGATTTAGAATTGCATATAGAACACGAATTACAATAAAAGTTGCAACTGAATTTAAAGAGGTAGCGTATAAGTATTCTCACTCTTGCTTGTGCTAAAACACATAAAACATAATTAGACATGGACAAACCAACAGCTAGATATACTCTAAATTTCTGGCTATTTCATAAATCTAAAATAAAACGAAAGATGTTTCTCTCTTAGTTTTAAAGTCCGAGGCCCCAGAAATTAAAGCAGTTAAGCCACAAATATTTCATGCAGCCTCCAACTATTTCTTTTCCCTAAAACAAAAGCTAAAGGCAAAAAATTCAAGTACAAATGAAAAAAACTTAAGAGTGATAACTGCCAAAACAACTCATTGTGAGGCCTGCTGTGGCAGAAAAAATCAGCAACAATTTTCAGAATACTGTACACCTATAAATTCACTACGATCAATGAATGCAAAAGGCAAAAGAAATTGGATTACAAATGTAACCAACAGACGTACCTTGAGTGCAGAAATATCAAAATCAAAGACATTCCCGTTGTACACAATGGTTATTTTTCAGCATTCTTGAGTCCATAACTCGGCCTAAAAAAACAGAGAAAATGTTTGATAAATTTTATAAATTACAAAAACACAGTAAAAATGATCAGTATAAATATACATACCTCAATGGTGAGAATCAAGTCTGAATAGGTTTATTCGGACCCAAAGTAGCAGATTGAATGACAATCTTCACAATCTCTTATTAAGCTTCCATACAATACCTCGTATGTCCACACTCCAACAATAAAATAAACACATAATACAATAACATTATATAACTTATCTAAAAGTTAAAACAACCGTGCATAAGCACCTTAAGGTTCATCCTGCAAAATAGAAGCACAAGTGAAATTAGCAATAAGCAAAACATAATCAATGAATTTTGAATTGACAAAGCTGAAGAAACTCTTAAACGTATATCATCGTGCACTGAGGCAACTTTATCTTTTGTTAACTCTACTTTGGAGCCATCATCGATCTCGTTAACTTCTGCATCATCATCTCCATCCTCGGCTATGAACACAATACCCAAACTTTGGAACAGGTTTTTGTAGAAGATTTGACCACAAAATCTGAAAATTATGAGATGAGAGTAGTCTTTGGATTTGAATTCCAAAAAGGGTATAATGAATAAAAAATCAAATCACAATACCAGAACATTGAAAGAAAAACTACAACCCAGGATTTTTGTGGAAGAACTGATAATAATCAGATGAGAATACACCGCTAAGATTTGGGTTCGAAGAACTGTAAGAATGAGAAGAAAGCCTCGTAAAATCGATAACCCCCAACGACAGATAAGGAACCAACAACAATTTTCGCGAAAGAATCACTCTCCGTGTACGCATAGAGACATTGTGTCTCTATGTGCACACGAAGACACCATGTCTCCAAGCAGCACGGAGCAGCGTAGACATAGTGCCCGTGCCGTGGAGAATTTTTTTTTTAAGGTGATAATTGAGGATAATTAAGCTCATTTTCTTTAAAATTTAGTTGAATCCATTTCCGAAAAACACGGAGAAAAACTTCGTGCAGTAAGGAGAACCTCTCTGTGGAACACGAAGATGGATGTCTCACACCATGGAGAACCTCTCCGTGGTGCACGGAGATAGATGTCTCCTTGCACCACGCACCCGTGTGTCCGTGTAAATCACGAAGACAAGGAGACATCCCGGAGCTCCATGCACCAAGGAGAGGATCTCCGTGGTGCGGACACCAGTGTTCGTCATGCATGAGTGTTCGTCATGCGTGGAGAGTACAGCTCGGAGCATCCCAAAAACAGCGTGGCATTCGAGCCTTTAAAATGATATTTTACTGCTTTAACAGAGACATTTCATCAAACATGTGTACCACAAAGTGTGAAGAAACAAAAAACCATTTTAAACATATCTCCGCTGTTCGGAAGGAGTTGTCCTGCTCCTCCATCCACCCTCCGTGTCGGCAGATTCACTCCACACAGGGCGGAGTCTCATACCAACGAATACAATAATGAATTAATCAAGATAACATTTACAAATTTAAAAATTAAAAACAATTTTTGTGGAAGAAGTAAAAGGTGGGAAAATATGTATACACAAACCTTTTCACAACAACTGTGAAACTGAAATATATGTCAATTTTCACATAAGAAAGAAAACATGAATAGCACAAATCCTAACTTATAACCCGAATGTTCAAAACCAATTCATTGTTGAAGACAGCCCTGTCAACATTTTTTATGGAAAGAGGGATAATTGAAAACTTGCCTTGTGACCGAGATCGTGTAAGTCACTGCAACTTTAGAGGGACGAAAGAGCTTCAGGTCGTGGTTCGGAACTTAAGATTCAGGCAATTTGGAAGCTCAAAGCCAAAGTTGATATCTGAAAATAAACAATGTGTTGCAGAATTATTCTGTGTATTCAATATACAAGATACATGGATTTATATACATTCAATACTAAGCTATATATGTCAAGAAGATCAACTATATAAGCTAGCTTATAAAGTTTTATACCCAAATATATTTTCCTATAATACAGATCCTAATAGATACTGCATATATTTGATTATCTTCCAAGATTTAACTTTCCCGTCAACACTCCCCCTCAAGTTGGAGAGTGTATGTCAAGAACACCCAACTTGCCAAGAAGGAAACTGAATGATGCCTGTCCAAGTGGTTTAGTGAACATGTCTGCAAGTTGTCTACTAGAGGGAACGTGTGCAGTCACGATTTCTCCTGATTGAATTCGTTCTCGAATAACATGACAATCAATTTCTATGTGCTTGGTACGCTCATGGTAAACTGGATTGGCTGCAATGTGCAAAGCCGCTTGACTATCGCAGAACAATTTGGCTGGTTGTAGATGCTTGACTGATAAGTCATTCAATAAGTATTTGAGCCAAGTGATCTCACATGTAATGGGAAGTGTTGACATTTTTTCCATGGAGTTTGTGGCCCACTGGAAATCCATGAAGAAAATAACATTTCTCAATGCTGTGATAGTCTTGATCACAGTATGAACAATGTAATGTGTTCCTCGATTTTTGCTTCTGAGCTTGATTTGCTTGTATTGCTCTACTATGCTGATCTACAAACATAGCATGATGATTAATATTGCCACGATTGAGCGAAACTTCCACCTGTTTTTCTTGCTGAAGCACGAGTGAATAAAAACGGCGAGTATCGGGTAGGGGCTGCATCAACAAGATCTGTCCACGAGTGACGGAATAGCTATCATTCAATCCCATGAGAAATTGCATGACTTTCTCCTTCTCTTCCCTTTCGTTAAGCTTTTCCATGCCACCGCATGAGCAGGTTAGAGAGTCATTATAGGATGAAAGCTCATCCCAAAGAGCCTTAAGTTTGGTATAGTATTCAGAAACAGATTGCTCTCCCTGTCTATGTTCTGCAATTTCTCGCTTGATTTGATAAATCCTTGAGTCATTCCCTTGAGAGAAACGCTCCTGTAGTTCAGCCCAAACCTCTGCAGCAGTTTCTGCATATATGACGCTACTTGCTATGTCTGGATTAACAGAGTTCAATAGCCACGACAAGACCATATCGTTGCACCGTTGCCATGACGCGAAACTTGCATCTGTCGAAGGAGGCGGTTTGATAGAACCTGTTACAAATCCTATTTTATTTTTAGCACTCAAACCAATGCGCATAGCACGACTCCATGTGCTATAGTTATCTCCTTCAAGCAGTTTGGAGACAAGAACAATACCCGGATGATCCGAGTGATGTAGAGAATAGAGATTCAATTTATCGGTGTCTATTGATGTTTCTGTAGTCATGGTTTCTGTCATGACTTTGTTTTAGCGGAAGGTAATAGATTTCAAGAGCTATTAGGACAATGCTCTGATACCATGAAAATAAACAATGTGTTGCAGAATTATTCTGTGTATTCAATATACAAGATACATGGATTTATATACATTCAATACTAAGCTATATATGTCAAGAAGATCAACTATATAAGCTAGCTTATAAAGTTTTATACCCAAATATATTTTCCTATAATACAGATCCTAATAGATACTGCATATATTTGATTATCTTCCAAGATTTAACTTTCCCGTCAACAATATCAAAATAAGAGAACAAACTGTGTCATTGCAATTGCATTTAGTGCATTTGCATTTAGTCAATAACTGTAGCTTTCAGATATTTTTTTTTTTTTGACAAGAGATTCAAAGTTAATAATTTTCAGTGTAGTGATTTCCTTAGTGAAATCGGCCAATTTTTTTTTTGTCCACATATGGAATAGTAATATATGAGGAGAATTCACAAATGAATAGTAATCCTCAAAGCCCCTCTTTTAAGAAAGGGTAGATCCATGTAGTCAATCACTAGCTATACAATCTTCAAAAGGAAAATATGCAAAATGTTAGTGGTTCAAGAATATACTCTTCCGTTCTGTTAATTTTAACAGCATTTCTACAGTCTCTGAGATAAGAAGAGTATTCTTCAACTAAGGAATATATATCATTTGATGAGATCATAAAAGACACAAAAAAGACAAATTGCAGTTTGGAATCTCAATTATTCGAAAAGAAGAGTTATAAAGGGACTTTTGTGGTAGGATGCATGGACGAAAAGACAACAAATGAACTGAAACACACCTTTTAAAATTTTAATTTGACTTAATTTAGAGTATGAATCTTGTCTATTGTACATCCATAGTCGATATTTATAATTGCAAAATCACTATTACATCCAGAGCAAGAAAAATTAAGAGAAGACGATTGAAAAATGGAGATTTTCTCTCGCACTCATTCTTTTTGTTGTGTTTCAAGAACTGGCTTTAGCCATAGAAGGGTGAGCATTGTGTCGTCATTATTTGGTGAAATTTTCTATCATGGAAAGTGGCTGGCTTTTTTGAGTCACTTATGACTTGTTTATTTCTTGATATGAATAAAAGTCCATTCCTTTTACGTCTACTAGTTACAACCAAGTATCAAATTTACCACAATCGGTATCGATGTTCGTATGATTTCCTGACCTTTGAACAATCTCAAGGAGTTTAAGGTTTTCCACCCAATACGTTTCCGCCCCGAAAACCCTTTATATAAATATGATGGTGGCCTAGTAAACGTGTGTATTACTATTGAATAAAAAAAATGGATAATGAAGTACATTACTATTAGACTCTATACGGACCAACAAAAAAACAACATCATCCGTTCAAACACGATTCGATCTACTGACCTTCATAATCATAAACCTTTTACAAACTGTAAGATGTAACATTGATATTTAAATGCTACACTGCCTTTTCTTCTTAGATAAGTAAGGCCTGGGAACATATCTGAAAAGAATCCTATAAAATGGGTATCTAGAAAATCAGATATTTTTCTTATCCCTTCTACTTTAAGCCTCCACTTGCCATTATGCTATTTATATCAAAGGAATGGCTTTACATTTTTTCGCAACTTCTCTACAGCTTTAACTTGAAGAAAAAATGGAATCCGATAAAGAAAGTCCCCCGAAGATTGGCGAAGAATTTCCATCACTGGAAGAGTGCTTCGGGAAAAAGAAGAGATCACATCGCACACTACTAAAACCTAATCATGGTCTAGCAAGATCATCATCATATGAACATGTACAGAAAAAAGTAGATTGTGTTTACCGGTATCAACTACAGGAAGCTTCTGTTTATCAGTCCATACCACCTTCTGGAAGTACTAAAGAGATAGAAAGTGCTACTCTTAAAGCCCCCACAGTTTCATCGTGATGGAATGTTGATTGATTGTGTATGGATCATTAATATTCTTGCTAGTTTACTAGACTCTCTTTGCAAAGTACGTATAACTAGTAGAGTGGAATATATGTATGTTAGTTGAGAGCATGCTCCTTTTTGTTAAGATTTGAGATTTCATCTTAAAAGGTCAACCTTATTAATATGAGTAAATTAATCATTTATAATTTGGTCTATGTTTTTATCTTTATTTGATGTGTAATTTTTATCCATTAACATGCTCTTGCAAGATGGTTGGCTCGTTTGAGCAGATCAATTTTCAAATCCGTGTGTTCATTTTTTTGAGTCTTAATAGGATCGAATTGCTCGTTGGAATTCAATGGGCTCTGATACTATGTTAAGATTTGAAATTCTATTTTAAAATGTCAATCTTATTAAGATGAGTAATCCAATCCTTTATAAGGTCTATAATGTCTAGGTACAGGAACGAATGCAGACAATTTGAATTAGAATGACAAAATCAAACTTGCAAAAAAGTTGTGAGAAATTTTACATCAAAAAAGAATTATACCCTATGTAATTTTATATCCGAAAATTTACATAGAGTGACTTTTTCAAATGTAACGTTTGAAAATTTTTGATATCACGTCCCATGTAAAATTTCCCAATAAAATAATGTAAATTATATTGAAAAATTTGTATTGCAAAAATAATAATAATTGATTTTTTTTAAAGAAAAAACATGTTAGATGTTTTTTTAAAATGCACGTTTGACGCATCTTTAATTATTTTCAATATATGTTTGAACAATTCGATATACTTATTATGTAGTTCTCGAAACAAACTTCAATATGACATCGGACAATTTATGGATTCGTCTAGCATACGATCATTGAAATTTTTTTAAAGTTAGCATATTATCGAAATTATCGAAATATTAGTTTAGAACAGTTTACTTTGACAAGCCGTTGCGTTTGCCACTGTTAATCATTTCGTGCGTCATTAACAACGTAGAAAACTAAATCATGAGTATTTCGAAATGATATTAAGAATGCAATATTTCAATTTTATTTGACATTTAATAATAACTTTGAAAATTGATACAAAAACATAGAAAAAAATGGCTCCATAGTTGGAGGTCACTTGACCCCATGCCATCCCTACGTCCGCCCTACCTAAGTGGCATTTTGTCATTGGCCAGATGTAGATATAACAAAACCCAAACTTTAATATATAAAAGTCCAATGAGATGTGAACCATTTTGTAGATGATTTTAATCAAGTTATATTTAGACCATTTTAGCAGTACCATTTTTATAATTCTATTGAAGTGTTTAATCAACTCTTCAATTCCACAGAAAAAATTCAACAGTCAAGGATCAATTTCTCATTCAACATATTTATTCGTGATAATGATGCATTGTACCAGGCCTTAGAACTTAAGTTAGTCAACTCAATGAATCTTAAGCTTTAGGACTCCCAACACTAGAGACTATTTCCCCCCTTAGGCCACTTGGAGGGAACCTTAGCTGGAAAGGGTAGGCCCTTATTCTATTCCTTTGTTTGTAAGGAATAGTGGGTCGAGAACTCTTTCTTTTTTGAGTCTCCGATCTCATACATACAAAGAATTAAGAATTACATTTAATAAAAGCTACAAATAACGAAAGAGTAAAACTCTTAGTAACCTTATCACTCAAACAATATACTCATTGATTCATTTACTTTAATTCAGAGTATCTATCTGCAAGGGAAAGGTCTTCAAAAGAGGCATTTCCCCCATCGAATCCGCTCAAGCTCCCAACTCGGGCTCGAGCTCGAGCTCATGGATTGGATGGCTAGCCTATGGCCTAGAGGCCTTTTCTTAGATGTATACAATGTGTTGGCGTATAATGTACCGTGTCTTTATTGCACACATACAATCTTTTATTAATATTTGAGGATTCTATAAGCCTATAAATATGTTCTATACAAATTTCTTTTAGAGGACTTTACCGATCTAACTAGATAATAATCGGTTGAATCAATGACACATTGACCCAACAATCCATTCGATCAGATCATATAATCCATCTAGTTTCGCGATCTATGTAAAATTCAGTCCGATCTATAAGTAGAGACTACAGAAAAAGGTAAGTTTGAACCATGAAGGCTGGACAAAACTCCTGAACCGATCTGGACCGAATCGAATTGAACCGAATCAAGAGGTTCTTCTTAAATGAAATACCTGAACGAGTATCTAAATCGAGAATTGACGGGTTTGGTTCAATTCTCGGTTCTAAGCCTAGAATTAAATAACTGAATAAGAATCGAATTTCCCTAATTTTTTATCTTAAATAAGTCAAATTATTTTATTTATTTCTAAATAAATTTGATAACTAATTAATTTAACTCAAACCTAAAATATAATTTTACTATTTTCAATTTTCAGCCAAGCCCTACTTAATCAAATTGACTTAAATTTTACCAAAATCTTTTATTCTACCATAGTATCGTTTCTGCCGTTCTATTATTGTAAACTCGCTATCTTCCTCTTCTCTGATTTTAACAGTCAAATTTATGAAGAATTCAACAAAAAATGTGTAAAAGATATCACCAGATGAGGCTACATTACTTTGTAAGAGTTAAGATTGAACATTTCATAGTTGAATTAATGTATCGTTATTGTAAATATAAAAAAAATTAATTCTTGTACAGAATCCGGGAACCGAATAGAACCAAATCGAGCCGAACTTAACTGAATGAAATCGAACCCGAACGGTTCCATAATTAAATTTGGACATGACGGTTCCACTTATTAAATGCCAGAAAATTCCGATTCACTTCGATTCCCTTCAAAATCGAATCGAATCGAATCGAATCGGATCATGTCCTCTACTAGAAACCATTGACCAATTTGTGCCTTAAATGATATAATTGGAAAGACCAAGGCCGAATAAAAATAGACTTCACCCTTCGAGCCTATCAAATTGACACTAATAGACCAATTCACTCGTACACACAGACACTGCTCTTCAAATTTTCTCGCCGCCCATGGCAGCAGCGCTCTTCACCACGCGTCGCCAGTTAGCCTCCATCCTCTCACGCTCCATCTCCTCCCGGCGAAACCGTAACGGCCTCCCCTTCCTCAACACCACCACTGCCGCCAACCAACTGCCTCGCCAACCCAACCCGATCATAACCCCTACACGGTTCAAGACATCCGGTTCGGGTTATTCCCCTTTGAACGACCCGTCTCCTAACTGGAGCAACCGGCCGCCGAAGGAAACAATACTCCTCGATGGCTGCGATTACGAGCACTGGCTAATTGTGATGGAGTTCAGTTCGGACCCCAAGCCCACTGAAGAAGAGATGATTAATGCTTATGTCAAAACCCTAGCCTCCGTTGTTGGAAGGTAAAATCCACAAAGAAACTTCTATAAAATTTGAATGATTTATGAGTCCATTTGCTTTAGTGATTAATTATCAAAAAATTATACACATTTGTCTAAATTTACAATGAAAACCAATTATGCGTGGAAGCCCAATTTTTGTTTGGTATATATTCTACCCACCGGATTATAAGAAAATAGAGTATGTTTGGCTTGGCTTAGAAGTTTACTTTAAGTAAATAAGTCGGTTTAATAATCAATTTATAATTTGTCAAAGTTGAAAATAGGTAAGAGGTAACCGTTACGTCCAAAGTAACTTTTTAAGCTTAGAAAATCGGGCTCTAAGTATTCGACATAACTGGTCTTGTTATTGTGCCCAATTTTTTTGTGAAAATGCTTTTTTGTGTAACAGCCTGCACGCAAGTGTGCAGTAGAAGTTGCAAATAATTGGTTGAGATTGCATCAACATGTTAAATGGGACCAAAAATATGAAATGGGATGATTTATATTTCCCACTCTTGTTTTGCCATCTACACTTTTTGTTATAGCAGCTTTTGAGTGAGAGAGAGAGACGGAGAATACCAGTGGAGGTGAACCTATATTTTCAATTATTTTTGGGATATGAAGATGTTATGTCTTTTAAGTTTTATTGTTGAGCTGTTTGAGAGGCTATTGATGTTTTCCTCTTTTTCTCGTAGATACTGCGATTCATTTGAAATATTTAATGGCTTCAGTTTTTTCTTCCTCCAAATGTACATTTTTTTCTTTTTTTCTCTCTTTACCTTGGAACTAGAAGTTTTTTTTTTTTCCAAGACCTCATTACCATGTAAGAGAGAAAAGCATTATCATCTCTGAGTTACTGCATTATTTGTAATTTTATACGTCTGTTTGCACACTTTGTTTATATTATACATACATACGACTTAAGTGATTTTTTTGCGGTGTTGAGGAGGATTTTTCATAATTCGCTGCTATATGCAGTGAGGAGGAGGCAAAGAAGAAGATTTATTCTGTTTGTACAACAACATACACTGGGTTTGGTGCTCTAATCTCTGAAGAGCTCTCGTACAAAGTCAAAGGTATGAAGTGTTTTTTATGTGTTTTATTGAATCTTTCAGGCTTTTTTAGCCTAATGTTGTTTGTGCTTTATGGTTTAAGTTTTGGTGTCGAAATCAATATTACGAATTTTCATGGATGCCAAGCAACTCTGGGATTGGCTTTGGTGTTCAAATTTTCACCTTTTCTGCTTTTGGCTGTTTCTCTATCATCTGCATGAGACCATAAGCTTCAGGTTGATCGTTCTGAAATTTATCTGGATTGGGGTTTAGTCGGTTTATCATTTTGTATTACTGGCTAAAATACATCTGAACTCCTCTCTACTTAATATTAATCCAATATGAACTATGGAATAATAATCTGTATGTAAGAGAGTTTGGCATTGAGGTTTTCCGAAGGAGTAATTGAGGGTTCAGGGTTCAATAATTGTGTCTTACACTTGATTGTTTAAGTTTGGCTCAACTGGTTATGTTTCTTTTGATGTTGACAGGCCTACCTGGAGTTCTGTGGGTTTTGCCTGATTCATACCTTGATGTACCTAATAAAGACTATGGAGGTTTGTGCACTAAAATTATGAATCAGATAGCATAGGTTTTTTCGTCCTCTCGTGATTTTAAACGAGTTTGTATCTTATATATTTTCTGAATCAATAGGTGATCTGTTTGTTGATGGAAAAGTCATCCATAGGCCACAGTACAGGTTCAATGAACAACAAAATACAAGGAACAGGCCTCGTCCTCGATACGATAGGCGCCGAGAAACAATGCAAGTAGAAAGGAGAGAGCCATCACAGGCAGTGAATCAGCATAAACCTGCCTCCACAGGGGAGCAGAATGCGTCTCAAGGTGTTGGGGGAGGCCATCCTCTGAATCGTGGAGGATTTCAGGGCAACAATGCATAAATAGATCAAGAATTTCGAACATGAAAATGCAAAGAAGCTCGGGTTTCGCATATTTCTGGACAAAGATTGGTCCTCATCTTCATTTGGAGTTCGGAGCATGTTTTGTCCGGAAAATGCATGTTAATCCCACTCTACTGAGGTTTATAGATGTGAATATTGTTTATGCCTTTCTAAAGTTTAGAGTATGAGACCATTTTCCTTACAATTTAGAACTTTTAGTGTATGGATCGTTTAGGTCTATCTGTATTGGGGTTCAAATTTCGCATTCCTCGTGTTTTCCTTTGTTATTCAATATGATTTTCCTTTTGTTTCTGTGTACTTTTCCTTTACGATGACAAGAAAATCCAATCTAAAGCAACCATTATATCTTTTCTTTAGCCCTTTCTTGTAACAACTTCACGACTTGTGATTCTTGCATTTGGAATTTGAGTTGTGTTTACAAGCACCTAGAGGCTAGAGCACTTTAGAACAAGTATTTCAAGTTTGATGAATGTTTATAAACACTTTTGAGTAATTTTTTATGAAAAATGTTTGTTGTACATCATCATTTACAATTTAAAAATTTTTTTTTTTCACAGATTGATGATGCATTGATAAATTGAATTAAAATTATCTGATGTACATATAGCATTTTTCATTTTTTATACATGCATTATGAGAAATTTATAAATAGTATCAATTTATCCATGAATTATTTCTATTTATCAACAATTTAAACTGTTTATGAATATTTTCCAAATATAAGTGTTTATGATGATGCTAATAGTGGAAGCACCTATTTTTAGGGCGGATGGACCCACCTAAGGGCTGAGGAGGGTTACTTTCATTATAAGGTTGATTCATTGGTCACAGTAAAAAATAGCTATCGTAAATGTTGGTTTTATAGGATTTGAAATAATTCTTATCCATTATTTCAAAACTCAACACAGTTTTTGAAATGTTTGATGCTTACGAGTCGATTTTAAATATGATTTTTTTTTTATTGTACATGTAATATTTTGTTTGGCGTCACCACCGACCACAAGTCACCATGAACACAACAAGACGACACTTGACTGTGCACTTCGATCAAGATTAATTTGCCAAACTTTGCAAGCATTTAAAACTGAAAGCAAACTAATATAATGAATATTTTGTTAGAGAAAGCTAAAAATAAAAGCAATTATTCTCCATTCTTTAAATAAAATTATTCAGAGAAACCAACAAAATATGCGGCAATTAAAACCCTCAATCTAAACTCTTTCACACTGAGAGAGAGAGAGAGAGAGAGAGAACAATTAAATCCAAAAAATTCCCCTGATTTACCTAACCAAATCAAATAAAAGAAACAAACATTGTAAAAAAATCTAGATTTATATTATTGACTCTAGGAACAAGAAGATTGAATAAAAAACATCAACGGATTCTTTCAATGTCGGAAGAAATGAAATAAAAAGGGGGTCCACTATTTCGAATCTCCGACTTTTCTCGAGCTTCTCGTAACGCAACTGAGACATCAACACGTTTTCTGTACTTTCGAGAATGTTCGAAATTCGTGGATAAAATTAACAACAATCATGCATTGAGTTCTCGAATTCATTCGTCATTTTTAAGAGGATTAAAAAATTATGAAGTCCCGAATTCATCCAATCATTATCGCTATTTTTTTTCTTACTTTTATGGGAAAAAAGTAATTTCAAATGTAATTATACTTCCTTATTTAACTTTTAAGTAAATTTTTACAACATAGCCAAACATACTCTTATTACAGCTCCAGCTTCGATCCCAATAATCCGGTCAATTTAGAAGCCACACCTACAGATCAACATTTCCCATTTCATTTTTTCAACGGATATTTAAAAAATCAAACAGAAGTGCCGTTTCTTCCCTTCTTTCTCCCTATGCAATCCCATTAGATCTCAATTCTCTCTCACACGATTCATCAATCTATACATTAACAATTAATATTTGTAGTATTTATTTATTTATTTAATGGCGACGGAGCAATTGATGGGAGGCGGACCGAAGTACGTCCAAATGCAATCGGAGACGGAGGCGGCGTTGCCGTTGCAATCGATGACTTCATCGTTTTTCTCGTTTAATCATCCAAGCACTGCTGAGCCGACTCGGATTTTTGATGAGTTGCCCAAGGCTACTATTATTCAAGTATCGCGACCTGACGCCGGTGACATTAGTCCTGCCCTATTGACTTACACAATTGAATTCCAGTACAAACAGGTGAAGTATATCTCTTTGAGCTTTGTGCGAGTGGTGATATGTGCGATTGTCTGGAATTTTGCGAAGATTTTACTGGAATTAGTGGCTAGGAGAAGTTGAATTTTAGTTCTTAAAAGATCGGAATTTGGCAAAAAAAAAAAAATTATAATTTTTGTTTCGGTATTTGTTTTGACTTTATATTTTTAGCCTTTGATGAGTGTTGATATTCATATATAGGAGTTATAGGAGTCGTTGTGCGATTTGATTGGAATTGATGGCCTTGTGAAGTTGAATTTTTAGTTCTTTAAAGAGTTGAATGTTTCATTACTCACTGAATTTATACCATGGTCATGCATTACTCAGTGAACTTTCAAATACTTTCAAGTAATCATCGACGTTTAACAAGTACTCCATTATTCACCACGTTTCATTAATCACTAAACTTTAAAAATATTTCAAAGCGTTCACTGAGATTTAATATGTTGCACTTCATCACTTACTCAACATGTTTTATTAGTCATTGAACGTGTACTTTCATCACGCTTCCCTCGTGAAGAAGGTGCCCTTCTTTCCTTTTGAATTACGTTGTGACAACTCTAATATTTATATTTTGTTAGTCTTGATTAGTATTATTGACTCTAAATCGAAAATTTCATGGATATAATTTTTTATTTTTGATTTGTGTCTAAGACGCAATCAAAATAAAGAAATAATTTCTCTATTTTATTTTCTCTACGTAAAGAAAGATTATGATCTTTGCCGTTCTACAAAAAATATTTTTTTCTTAGAAAACTTATTTTCAACTACACATTTTCAAAATAAAGCATATTACACGCAAACCGAAAACTTTTCTTTACCCAAATATATTCCTCAAAATAACTCTTTGCATCAAACAGAAGATTTATGTCAATTTGAAGCTAGCATTCTTCTTTACTCTTAAATGTAGCTTTTGATGACTAGAAAAATTATATCTTCTTGACTAATATCAATATTCTCTTCTTAGATAAAGAGTCCCACTATTTAGTCGATATTTATTTTATTTTATTTTTTCGATCTAGATCGAATCTCATAGAAAATTGACTTTACTCGACAACATTGTGAAGTTTAGTGATTTTTCGGAAGTATTTTAAAGTTCAATAAGTAAAATATGAAGAATGTTTAAGTTCAATGACTAATGAAACATGATGAGTGAGAAATAGAGTGCAACTTATTAAATTTTAGTGACCACTTTGAAACATTTTTAAAGTTCAGTGACTAATGAAACATGACAAGTAAGTGATGGAGTGCAACGTGATAAAGGTCAGTCATCATTGGAAGCATTTTAAAGTTTAGTGAGTAAAGCGGGACGGAGATATAAGTTCAGTGACTAAAAAAACATTTGACTCAGTTCTTAAAAGATATTGAAATTGGAAAAGAAGATTTATTTTGTTTTTGTTATTTTGGCTGCATATTAAGAGAACTAAATACAAGCACTATATATATAGCTTTATGTCCTCAGGTTGCTTATTTTATGGAATTTGGAAATGTGGAAGTATGTTATAGTTTTATACGTATAGAAGTGTGCAAGTTGGTGGAATTCCCAAAGAGTTTTCTGGTTGTGTAGTTTTTGAGCTTTAGCTTTTAACAGTTTGAGGTTCATGATTTTTTATTTTATTTTATTTTTTTGGTAGTTTCCATTGAATTATTATATCTAATTGTAATTGATGTATTTGCCTTGGAATTTTAAATTCAAAATAAATTGAGTCTAATGCCTTCCTTTTTCTTCAGTGATGAAAACAACTGTTTCTTCAGACGAAGAAAAAAAAGAAATTTCAAATTTCAATCAATTCATTATCTTTTGGGTTTAATGAAATTGCAACAAATTGACAAAAGGACTGAGTACGAGTTATTCTGCAAATGTTAACAGTATGTTATATATTTTTTGTATAAATGTGTACTTAAGGTGTTTATATTTCCATTTTATCTGTTTCGAGTTTCCTTTCTGAAGCACTAATATCATCCCATTGTTCCATAGTTTAAGTGGCAGTTAGTGAAGAAAGCTTCTCAAGTCTTTTATTTACACTTCACTCTGAAAAAACGAGCATTTTTTGAGGAGATGCAGGAGAAGCAAGAGCAGGTATTTAGGTTCACATCAGTTATGTTTTTATACTATATCTTTTCAGCCTTGAGATCATTACTTTGATGTCTAGTAATAACATTATGTGTTGCTATATATTCAAATTAAAGTGGATATCAGTTGAACGTCCTGATTTCTGGTCTTCTGTATGGAAATGAGCCGGAGTCCTAGGCTTAAACTACCCCTGTTGTCAAATTTTATTTTTTGGAATATTGATCCCCATCCTTCTTTGATTTACTTCTGATGGGAAATTTTTTTCCAAAGGTTAGAGAATGGCTTCAAAATTTAGGAATAGGAGAACATGCAACAGTTATGCAAGATGAAGATGAACAAGATGACGAGGTGCTTCCTTCACGTAATGATGAGAGTGCTAGAAACAGGTGCTTTTTAGTCACACGTGACTTATAGAAGAAAGTGAAATAGTTTGATTCCTGTTGTAATTGTTATTAATCTTACAGGTGGTTTTTTGTTCAGAGATGTTCCGTCTAGTGCCGCTCTGCCAATTATCCGGCCAGCACTTGGAAGGCAGCATTCAATGTCAGACCGAGCAAAAGTAGCAATGCAGGGATACTTAAATCACTTTCTTGGTAATATGGACATTGTGAACTCCCGAGAGGTATTGGTTGCCTCTCTCTTGATGCTGCTAAATAATTTTGAGGGTAATTTGTATTTGCAAGATCTATTGATGTAAAACAGCATTCCTTTTTTTAAATCATTTTTTTTTCAGTTCAGTAACTCTTCAAGATGTTTTGGAGCAAGATTTTTTCTAAGTACGGAAGATATGCTCTTCATAGGTTCAGAACGAAAGTATTGGCAATATTAACTATAGTAGAAGGGGGAAATATTATCATGTTTTGCATGTACCAATTTATTTTATATCAGTCTAGATTCTTTGCTACCCTCTCTTGACTCACTACTTGATAAAGGCTGATATACATTTGCTTACTGTATTTTAAGTTGAGCTAGTTACCCTTCCTCGAGATCTAAGTAAAGTGACTTCTTATCATAGTCTGTTTGGTGGCAGCTTAAATGCAAGCTGAGTGAAGAATAGTTGAGTATAATATTGAGTAGGAAGCCTCTAATTGGTGCACGATAGGAAGATTTCTACATGTCTTGGTAATTATTTTAGTACAGTATTTTTTTCGACAGATGTTTTTGAATCATGTATTGCATGTCATGGTGGGATTCTCTAAATATTTGTATCCGTTGATGTCTTTGAAATGATATATAGATATATGTACATTAGAATTGCTATAAACACAACTAGTACATAACTGTTTGCTATTTTCTTTAAATTAAGCTTCTTGTTTTAACACAAGTATCACGTGGAATTTTCTGTGAACATTGGTGTAAGCTGAATCTTTGTTTCTTGAGATTTACTAATGGAAAGTTTTCTTACACCAGAATCTTTGTTTCTTGAGATTCACTGCTGGAAAATTTTCCTCCCCTGACTTTTAGAGTGAACAACTGCAAATTGTAGGTTTGCAAGTTTTTGGAAGTTTCGAAGTTATCATTTTCGCCAGAATATGGTCCTAAGCTAAAGGAAGAGTATATTATGGTTAAGCATTTACCAAAAATTCTGCACGATGATGATGGCAGAAAATGCTGTGCATGCCAGTGGTGCAGTTGTTGCAGAGATATCTGGCAAAAGGTAACATTGATCTTTCTTCGAAATTTTCACGCATTCAGATGTGGTCAGCTTCATGTACATGTGTCTGGTTTCATTAAGGTTGTATTTGTATTCGGATAGAACAATTGCTTTTCTATTAACATCTGCTCGGAAGTGGCCCACTTGGATTTTAATTATCTGTGTGTGTATTCTCTATGCTCAGCGATCATTTAAGTAGTGTTGATACTATGAATGTTAGATCCTTGGGTTCTTTTCTTTCTGTTTGATGTCTCTCCAATGAATAAAGACAGAGAAGAATGGAATGCTTTCCTTACTCAGTCATGGATAGATATGTGAAGTGTCTATTTGGTTATCTTATCTTTAATTTAATTATATAATATGAGCACTGGTTCAGACATACAATTTGGAAGGGATTATGAAGGTCATTCACAAATAAAGCTGATTCAGTTTGTCATAGGCTACTATTGACTCTGTAGATAATATTTTTCCTTCAATTTGCATGCTTGTCAGTGAATTGGAATAGTCTCATTGTTTACTGGGAGTTCAGACCAAACATTTTGTGATGAAAGTGGCGTCCTCGAGTAATTATATGCGTATGTTGGAAATATAGTGGATCATAAGGTTCATATTTTAGGTACTGTTAACTTTTCGGCCTTTTGTAGTTGAGCATTAAATGTAAGGCTGTCAACGTTTCATATTTAGATTCCCTAAAGTTTTTAGCCCACTATCGGCTTTGGACAATCAGCGCGTCTGGCACCCAGCTCTCCTCTGAATGGATGATGGAATTAATCTGATTTGGCTACCTTGAATTCTGATTTTCTTCCTTAAATGGATTGACCACATGAATATGCATGCAGGAATATGCATAAAAAATTTACTTTCTATTGTGTAGCTTTATAATGATAAGTGCTTGATCTGGAAATCTGTATTTATACCATTGAATTATAGAAGTCATAAATTTTTATGCAAGTTACTTCCTCGTCTTGCTGATATGTACTAAATATGCCTCGGCTATTGACTTGTATAAGCACTTGGTGATGCAGCAAGAAAGATGACACACGACTCTCAACCATTATAGATCTTTTTGGGTCAACTTGTGCAACTCATGTTGCCATGGACAACATCCATCAGCACAAGCTGGCCAAATATTTTAGTTTTCAGTAAACTTAGAATGATGATGATTCTGTCTGGGATGTATTCTATTTTGTCTGTATGTCTGACAAACAGCTTGAGACTAGGGGATATAGCTTTATGTACTACTCTGCCTTTTGTCTTTCAGCTCGAGTGCATTGCTGTAGTCCTTTGTGCCACACTTAAACTAAGTTACAATTTCTTCTGTGATATGCTCTCTCCCCTACCATTTTAATGCCCCTAGAATGGTATATGAATTGATTCTTACAAGCTTAAGTATTCAAGTCTAATATAATCTTGTTATACATGAAGGTGTGGGCCGTGTTAAAACCTGGATTCTTGGCCTTTCTCAAAGACCCTTTTGACACCAATCTTTTGGATATAATTGTTTTTGATGTTCTGCCGGCCTCAGATGGTAATGGAGAGGGCAGAGTATCCTTGGCAAAAGAAGTGAAGGATCACAATCCTTTGCGCCATTATTTCAGGGTAAGTAGCTTATAAGTTCTTTTATTTTGTGAAGAACCTTTTCTGTTCTGGTGTTTTTCTTCCACTTTCAGCCAGTACATGGTGGTGGTGATATCATTTGTACTCTGGTAGAAACAACCTTTTGGTTCATGGCATGTGCTGAAGTCAAATAAGGTTTTTATCATTAATTTTAAACCCTTGCTCTTTCTATAAATTAATAGATCTCTGTGCTAGGTGACTTGTGGTACTAGAAGCATAAAGCTAAGAACCAAAAGCAATGCAAAAGTTAAAGACTGGGTTGCTGCAATCAATGATGCTGGTCTTCGGCCACCGGAGGGTTGGTGTCACCCTCACCGTTTCGGGTCTTTTGCTCCTCCACGGGGTTTGACCGAAGACGGTAGTCAAGCTCAGTGGTTTGTTGATGGTTGTGCTGCATTTGAAGCTATAGCTTTGGCAATTGAAGCAGCAAAATCTGAGGTACTTATCTTGAAGCTGCATATCATGATTTATTTATTTTTTGATATTTTATCAAGTACGCGGACAATGACTAGTATCTCATGCAGATATTCATGTGTGGATGGTGGCTGTGCCCAGAACTGTATTTACGACGTCCATTTCATGCTCATGCATCCTCTCGTCTTGATTCTTTACTGGAAGCTAAAGCCAAACAAGGTGTTCAGGTATTTAATACATGTAAATTTTCTATTAGTTCCTATTGTAGCATGCCTTATCTGAGTGGTTAGAGGCACCCTTGCATTTGTTTCTGCTTCAAAATGTTGATTGTCTGTAAAATTGGAATGAATTTTAAGAGGAATGCACATATCAAACACATTTAGCCCCTGTTTGAGCTCCATTATAATTAGTTTTTGGGGAAAAAAAAAGTATTTTGTAATAGTGATTTTTTGAAGAATGTGTGGTTAAAAAAGAAAGAAAAGTTTTGGATTTACGTATAATATTATTTTATTGGAGAATGTCTGATTGAAGAGAGAGAGAGAGAGAGAAATGCATTTTGGAATTAATGGAGCTCAAACAGAGGCTTAATACTGATTTGATTGTAGATATTTGTGTTTTTAGTAATGTCTACACACTAGGGATGCAATTGAGTTGAGTCAAGCTGATACATTAAATAACTCGAACAATAGTAAAGTATCCAATGCACAGCTGTGAAAGTAGGCACCAACTCGTGTATCACAATTTGAATTCATAGTCTGAAGAGTTAAGTCTTTGCTGTTGTTTCCAAAATGAATTTGCCACAACTTCCTTTGGGACTGGTCATGCTCTTTCTTGAAGAGACTGTCACTGCAGTATATCATTCCCTCTTTAAGAACCATCTGGAAGGTGGACTTAGATTCCAATGAGCCGAAGACACGTTTGATCTGTCCCTCTAAAATACACTATCACCATTTTCAGCATCATTGGTGGCTTCTGTGGTGGTTGTTCTGGTGAAGGCTGCAACAGTGGCATTTGGATTCTCATTAAGTGAATGGATCATCATTTATCATAATGCAACTTGCTTGATGATTTTACTGCTGAGTAATTTTGAAGTGTGTAAAGGAAACTTAAGTGGTCAGTATATGGTATCTATGTAAAACATATAAAATTAGGCAAAAAATATTCATTTTATTTATATATTTATTATGTGAATTAGAAACAAAATTCCAAAGACGAGGTCTGGAGCTCTCATTTATGATTCATGCGATAACACTAAATAAGAAATCGCTAAACTCCATATGGTCGAAAACATAATGTCATGATGAAAACAATATTTATTTAGTTCATATGCTAATAATATAGGGTAAAAGAGTTTTGTGGTGTTCTGTTTGGGAGACTAGGACACATTTCTAAGTTCAGATGTTGATTTTGAAACAAACTAGAAAGATGATGAATCTGAATGGAAGTACATGAACTAAGTAAGCTAGTTGTAACCGCTTTGTTTAAGCTCTTGATTTTTAGTTTTACTAGTAAAAAATGAACTATGAACTTGAAAACTCAAAGAATGGAGCCAACATGATTGAGATCCCTAGAACTAGTAAATTAAGCTTAATTTCCCGTTGTCTTAAACTGTCATGTGAATAAATCCAAAGAATAGGTAAATCGCATGGCCTGTAGGTTTTTGTCAATATTATGCAATGGCTCTACCTCCTGGGTTATGTAAGAGTAGGTTGTGGTTATCAAAACAGCAGCTGAAAAGATGACAGAGAATAGTTGGCTCAAGTATTTTATGACACATGCGTGAGTAGCTCCACTTGCATCCCTACTAATTTTTTTTTTTTTTATAATCGTGGATGTCCAGGCCAGCTTGCGCGCACCTCGACTAATTCCACGGGGCCCTGAAGTTTACGGCCGGATACTCATCTTAGTGGCCCTGAGGGGGCTCGAACTGGTGACCATTGGGAAGCAAACCTAAGGTCTGACCAATTGAGCAACCCCTCAGGGTTCTTGCATCCCTACTAATGGCTACCATTTAGATTTATTATGGTAGTGTCGTGGAAATTTTTTTGCAATAACCACATGTTTCAAACGATATACGGTGCTATGGCTGACAAATTTACATAGCCAGGTCTTTGAGCTAGCTTTTGGTCACTCTTTCTGATTAATTATTGAATGTTATCCTGTTGTACATAAATCTAATACTTGCTCTTTCTTTTCTCTGCTTTATGTGCTAAATATCGGCTTTAGCATAGGAAGCTTATGACTTAACTATCATCTTTATTGAACAACTCAACACCAAGGTTTTTTATTTGTTGGCACTATCTTTTCAGATGATTGATATGAGACTTATCAGCACATTTCTTTCTTTCTGAAAATTCATTATTCATTGGTTAGCCATGATATCCATTATAATACATACATTTTCTTGTTTTTGTTAAAGAATATTTTTCTATACCATATTTGAATCACTTGAATATTTTATGGATTATATTTACCTTATCCTTGCAGATTTACATTCTTTTGTACAAAGAGTTTGCTCTTGCACTCAAAATTAACAGCGTCTATAGCAAGAGAAAGCTTCTAGACATTCATGAGAATGTCAGAGTGCTTCGCTATCCTGATCATTTTTCTAGTGGGGTCTACTTGTGGTATGAGAAGGCATTTCTTGTATTTCCTCTGTTTTTGTTTTGATTATCATTTGTTAATCAAACAGAAGTTTGTCCATGATGATGTCATATCTACTCGTATACAGGTCCCACCATGAAAAGATTGTCATCGTTGATCACCAGATATGTTTCATAGGAGGACTTGATCTATGCTTTGGCCGTTATGACTCGCCTGATCATAAAGTGGGAGACTATCCTTCTGTTATATGGCCTGGCAAGGATTATTACAACCCAAGGTATGTTCTACTTCTTGTTGTTGAATATAGTGATACAAGAATTTATCATTTTAGTGTGCTCCTAACTATATTTTTGTTGAGAATCAAGCTTAAGAAAATGCTCTACTATCTGATCACTTGTCACTAATCGTGATTTTTAGTTGATAGTATCCTATTTGATCTGCTCTAATTACTAGCAAAATATTTAACAAATAAACCTCTAGACGGTTTTCTACCTTTGGTAACTGACAGTAACATGTGAGGCAATCACGATCATTTGTTGACATGAAAGCTGTCACGTGCTTTGTGAATTTGTCAGTTGTATTAGTCAAATTTTTATCAGACTATACTATGAATTTGCTTCATTGCATTTTTTAGTTTGAATTTTGAAGAGAGTTTCTTCCAAACAAGACCAAAATGCTTCACGTGACAAAATTTCAGGGAATCAGAACCAAACACATGGGACGACACGATGAAGGATGAGCTAGATCGAAAAAAATATCCGCGGATGCCATGGCATGATGTGCATTGCGCCTTATGGGGACCGCCATGTCGCGATGTGGCCAGGCACTTTGTGCAGCGTTGGAACTATGCAAAGGTTGATATCTTTGTTGGAATTATCAGTTGTAAACCTATGATTGTCATGTGATTTCACATTGTTACTCAATTTTCCAGAGAAATAAAGCTCCCAATGAACAAGCAATTCCACTTCTTATGCCTCAACACCACATGGTTATACCCCATTATATGGGAAAAAGCAGAGTTATAGAGGTTGGGAATAAGACTAGTGATGGAAATCATGAAGACGTGAAAAGACACGACTCTTTTTCCTCTCGATCATCCTTTCAGGATGTACCTTTACTTATTCCTCAAGAGGCAGATGAGCAGGATATTGTAATGGGAGACTCAAATCTGAATGGGTTTAATACTGAACATGATCTCCAGGTTCAGCCAAGCAGGGTCAGCAGAAGCCCTTTCTCTTTCCGCAAACCCAAAATTGAACCATTAATTTCGGACATGCCAATGAAAGGTTTTGTTGATGAATTTGTCACCTTGGATTTCCAGAGGCAGTTGGCCCATGTAACACAGCCTGGCTCAGCAGTTTCAGAGAAAGAATGGTGGGAAATGCAGGAACGAGGTGACCACATTGTTTCTCCAGATGAAATTGGACAGGTCGGCCCTCGTGTTGCATGTCGCTGCCAGGTGAGCTTTACTTCTTGCTGTGCCTAATCGTCTTTGTTTTGACGAGGTGCTAAATTATCCTCTTTAAAGTCTCTGATAAAGTTTACTATTGTAGTCACATTTACTTTATTTACGACCCTGGGAATTATGTGCTTGTTTGTTATTGCTTTAAGTGCTTATAGGCAGTGAGTCATACGGAATGTGTGGATAATAAGTGGTATTAAGGTTGTAGGTCCTACTAAATGGTGGATATAAAGTATGTTTAACCAGCTTACAAATGTGAATTGTCACATTTAAATTATTTACCAAGCGTAAAAATTTATGCTTTTGCCATATTTTATTTTCATGTGGACATGATCTTTGACTACTTATTTGCTTACAACAGTAGCTGAAGAATTTGAAAAAAAAATTATGTTCACGTCTTTTATATGCGCGCTTAAGAGAGAAACTTTTAGCACGAGAAATTTACAAACTATTCAGGTCTGCGCATTTGCCTTGTATGTCTAGCACTATTTTGATTTGCTGCTTGACAGCTTTTGCATAGGTGCTTCAGATAATTTATTTCTGTTTGTAGTTTGCAAAATATTGAGTATGACCTATGTATGATTCTCAGGTTATAAGGAGTGTGAGTCAGTGGTCTGCAGGAACAAGCCAAATTGAAGAAAGTATACACATTGCTTATTGTTCACTGATTGAAAAGGCTGAACATTATGTTTATATCGAGGTTTGTAATAAATATTTTTTCCCAAGTTCTAAGTTCAGTGATATTACTTTTTGTCCATGAGATTGTACGTTTATGTTGGAAGCAATGTAGTGAGTATGTCCAATATCTTATAATGTGTGCACAGAACTATATTTCACGTTTTATAAAAATGCAAGCACACAAACACCATGGAATTTCGGAAGACTCCTGCTGATAGATTCAAACGCACAGCATAAGAAACAGCAAAAAACCTGAAACAGTGCCATTTGTAATGAAGTGGCTGACTCATAACCAATGTGCATCCTGGCATCTTTGACCATTTATCTTATTATGCAACCGCAAGTTATAAGTGCACCACAATCTTATATCTAAGCAAAGTATAAATTCTCCTCATGCATATCCTAATGGTTTATCAAACAATGCACCCAGTAAGTCTGGTATTGTAGAACTGATAAATTATAGTTCTACTGATTGAATTGAATATACCTGCTCACTTCCTCGGACACCTAGACTGGAAAGTAAATATAAAAATGCTTCTTGTGGCCTTTGATCAAGGAAAATCATTTGTTTGAATGAATTCTTTTTTTTTTTTTTGATAACCGTGGATGTTCGGGCCTGCTTGCGTGCACCTCGACTAATTCCACGGGGCCCTGAAGTTTACGGTCGGGTACTCACCTCAGTGGCCTGAGGGGACTCGAACTGGTGACCATTAGGGAGCAAACCCAAGGCCTGACCAATTGAGCAACCCCTCAGGGTTATTTGTTTGAATGAATTCATAAGACAGATTCCAAAGAGAACGTGATAAGATGGCTAATTCTACAAGTTCATGGCAAGTTGTCATATTGGAACTTGGAGATACATAGTGAATACTATTTGGTAGAGGAAGGAAGCATGAAAAGGCAAATAAAAAGAAATTATAAATTGGACTAACTAGATAATCCCGATGGTGACAACTGAAATCTTTTAATTAAGGTCGTTGTGTATCTTCTTAAACTGAGTTGCCAACAATTTGCATCATTATTGTTTAAATTTGTTTTCCTTCTTTGTTGGATTCTTTTAGGCTCTAAAAGTGTGAAGGATTATTTCTCCTGATATGTATTTAATGTGCAATTTTTTTCCAGAATCAATTCTTCATCTCAGGTCTAGAAGGAGATGAAATCATACGTAATCGTGTTTTAGATGCTATATATAGACGTATTGTGCGAGCCCACAATGAGAAGAAGTGCTTCCGGGTTATCATTGTGATACCTCTTTTACCGGGCTTCCAGGTACTGACACTTCTTTTTGGGTAATCTTTCAGGAATTGCAGAAAGTATTTTATGTTATTGACTCTGTTATATTTAATTAGGGTGGTGTGGATGATGCTGGTGCTGCATCTGTCAGAGCTATTATGCATTGGCAATATCGAACAATATGCAGAGGACCTAATTCAATATTACATAATCTTTTTGATCTTGTTGGGCCCAGAATGCAAGATTATGTATCTTTTTATGGTTTGAGAGCATATGGCAGACTTTTTGATGACGGTCCGGTGGCCACTAGTCAGGTATACTTGCAATTTTCATATAGACCTCCAATGCATATGGCCTCTACCTTGATCATATCATGTAGTTCCTGAATCATAGGTATTCTTTTATAATGTGACTGCAGTAGCTTAACCTTTAGTGTAGTCAGTCGCTTGTTTAAGCTGCCAGGTGAATGTTGTGGTCAGTTCTTAACATCTTTACAGTAAGTTTGTAATGAAGTCTACCCTCAGAACAATAAAATATACTCTAGTGTCCAGAATCTTGAGAGAAAATTGTTGTTTGTTTAGTTATTAACAGATATTATTGTTGGAATAAAATTGTGAGCACGCTCGTAATTTGTAAAACAAAGGAAACTTCTCTATATTTTTCAATAAATATTACAACCTAACTATACACTTTTATATTACAAGAATGAGAGTAAAAAAAGGAAAAAAACAAATTACTTAAAATCTTCTAAGAAATCTCCTAAAATCAATATCCTAATTCCAACGTCTAAATATACATTGTTAATTATGGTAGGTGAAATATTTATTATAATTTCAAGATTTCAACACTCCCCTTTAAACTTGTGTTGAGGGAGTCTTTTGGTGAAGATATCTGCAATTTGTTCGTGTCTGGGAACATATGTCATGCAAATAGTCTCTTTTTCCACATTTTCTTTGATAAAATGTCTATCCACCTATACATGCTTAGTTCGATCATATTGGACTAAATTGAGAGAGATGCCGATGGCCACTTTGTTATCACAATATAATTTGTAACGACCTAATTGGTATCAGGTTTCAACTTAAGTCTCCCATATGAGTTGGAGGTTTTAGGTTCGAATCCTGGGGGACGCGTCCAGAAAACCGTGAGGGGAGAAAATTACTCCCTATAGCGGACAGTACGTATAATGAAGTTAACGGCCAGAGAAAATTACTCGGGTCATTACACATGTGGATCTGGTATTAACATATTAATGAGTTGGAGGTCTTGGGTTCAAATCCTGGGGGACGCGTCCAGAAAGCCGTGAGGGGTAAGATCCGCCCCAAAGCGGATAGTACGTCTATGTTAACGGGTCGGGTAAGATCCACCCGGGTCGTTACATAATTTGATTGGAAATTTCTTGAATGAGAAAGTTGTTTGAAAATCATTCTCATTAATTTCACCTTTGGTACAAGGCAGCATATATATTTACAATAGATAAACGAAGGAAGAATAAAAAAGGAAAGAAAAATATTTTAATTGCTAACTTCTAAGGTAACTAAATATCCTGGAATATTGTAGATTTGGAAACTTTCCAACACTCCCCCTCAAGCTGGTTTAAAGATGTCTTCCATGGCCAGCTTGTTGATTAATTTTTCAAACTGTTTCTTTGGCATACCTTTGTAAGTATGTCTGCCACTTGTTTTGTTGTAGGAATATAGGTCACACAAATTACCCCACTATCTATTTTCTCCTTGATAAAATGCTTGTCCACCTCCACATGTTTTGTTCTGTCATGATGAACTGGATTGTGGGCAATAGCTATTGCAGCCTTATTATCATAATACAGTTTCATTGGTAATGAATTAGTCACTTTCAACTCTTCCAACAATCTTTTAATCCATAGTGCTTCACAAATTCCATGAGCAACAGCTCTAAACTCAACCTCTGCACTACTTCTTGACACCACACTCTGTTTCTTGCTGCGCCATGTTACTAAATTTCCTCCAACAAATGTACAGTAACCAGAAGTGGATCTTCTATCGGTGACACTTTCAGCCCAATCTGCATTAGCGTATATTTCAACTTGTAAATTCCCATTACCTCCAAACAATAAGCATTTACCTGGAGTCCCTTTCAGGTACCTTAAGATTTTGTAAACAACATCAAAATGTTCAGGTCCTGGTGAGTGCATGACCTGTTGCAAAGGCTATATCAGGCCGCGTGTGAGATAGATATAGTAGTTTCCCTACCTATCTTTGGTATTGTTCTCTATTGATTACTTCTTCAGGTTTAGCTGGTTGGAATCTTTGATTCGGCTCTATGGGTGTCTCTGCAGGTTTACACCCTAACAAACCTGTTTCTCCAAGTAGATCAAGGATATATTTTCGTTGAGAAACAAGTATACCTTTCCTTGACTTTGCAAACTCCATTCCAAGAAAATATTTCAAGTTACCTAAATCTTTGATCTCAAACTCCTTAGCAAGAATAATCTTTAATCTTTCAATTTCATTGCTATCATCTCCTGTCGGAATAATATCATCAACATAGACAATAAGTATAGCTACTTTGTCTCCGCCAGTGTGTTTGTAGAACAAAGTGTGGTCAGTTTGGCCTTGGCTGTAACCATGACTCTTTATCACCCTTCCAAAGCGTTCAAACCAAGCTCTAGGAGATTGTTTGAGTCTATACAAAGACGTCCTCAACCTGCACACCTTACCTTTGCCCTCAAATCCTGGTGGTAGATCCATAAAAACTTCCTTCTCTAGGTCTCCATTTAAGAAGACGTTCTTCACATCTAATTGATACAAAGGCCAGTTGGAATGAGCTGCTATGGAGAGTAACACACGGATTGAATTCATCTTGGCTACAGGAGCAAAAGGTTCCTGATAGTCAATTCCATATGTTTGAGTGAACCCCTTTGCTACAAGTCTTACTTGTACCTTTCTACACTACCATCAGCCTTGAATTTGACAGTAAACAACCATTTACAGCCCACAATCTTTTTTTCTTCTGGTAGATCACTAATTTCCCAAGTACCATTAGCAGTTAGTGCATTCATCTCTTCTTGAACAGCCAATTTCCACTCTGGGTGATCCAGGGCTTCCTGAATGGTTCTTGGAATAAACAAATGAGAAATTTTGGATGTGAAGGCCTTATGAGTGTTAGAAAGTCTATGATAGGATAGATGTTTGGCAATAGGGTGTGTTGTACACGTTCTAATTCCTTTCCTAAGGGCTATATGTAAATCTAGATATGTAGAATTGTCAACAAAAGGAGTAGGAGTTAGTAAGTTACCTGGTGTGTTTGAAGGACCAACTTATAGAGGTGATGATGATTGGCTTTGCTCTGGATCGGAAGACGGGTTTCCATTATTTTGATGAGCTCTTCTTCTAGTATAAACACGAAGTTAACCTGGTAGTATTTCTCCACCTGGTTGTGAATCACTTGTGCCTTGTATAGGCTGACTCGAATTTCCATCATTTTCACTAGATAAATTTTCTTTTTCCCGACCCTTTAAAGAGTATAGATGTCCATGTCAATGTCAGGGAAGCCATTAGGAAGAGGGAAACCATTAGGAAGAATATTAAGATTCGAAGTTTGCCAGAGCTCATCTTCACTTTTCTCCTTCTCCCCCTTAATGGCTAAAGTAAGGCTGTGTTTCAAGGAAAACAACATCCATACTGATGTGAATTTTCTTTGTAATAGGGTTCAGACATTTGTACCCTCTCTTATTAGGAGCATAACAAAGGAAAACACATTTTTCTGCCCTAGGGTCAAGCTTGGACCGAAGATGAGTTGGTATGTGAACAAAAACAGTACACCCAAAAACCTTTAGTTCTAAATCTGATGCTATTCGACAAGTAGGGAAGATCTCCTTTAGGCAGGCTAACGGGGTGATGTATTTTAAAACACGAGTAGGCATCCTATTAATAAGGTAACATGCAGTCAAAATAGCATCACCCGATAAGTATTTAGGAACATGCATAGAAAACATTAGGGCTCGTGCAACCTCTAACAAATGACGATTTTTTCTATCGGCAATACCATTTTGCTGTAGGGTGTCACGACAAGTAGATTGGTGTTGAATACCTTTTGTTGATAAAAAAGATCCCAAGCATTTATTAAAATATTCAGTACCATTATCAGTTCGAAGGATACTGATTTGTGATTGGAACTGTTTTTCTGTCATGTGATAAAAATCCTTGAATAATTTTTCAACGTCAGATTTATCGCTCATCAGATACACCCAACACAACCGTGTATGATCATCGATAAATGTCACAAACCATTTTCTTCCAGATGCAATAGTGATTTTTGAGGGACCCCAAAGATCACTATGAATTAAATAAAAGGGTTTTGAAGCATGATAGCCTTTAGATGGATAAGTGTTCTGATGACTTTTGGATAGATGACAAGTATCACAATGAAGAGAGTTGTGGCCAACAGTTTTAAATAAGCCAGGAAACAAATATTTTAAATAGACAAAATTAGGATGTCCTAGTCTAAGATGCCAAAGCATAATTTGTTCACGCACAGGCATTGAAATATTACCACTACTACTCAACCCCTGAACTTGTTTATTGTTGAATAGGGTCTCATCAAAATAATAGAGTCCATCAATCATCTTAGCACTACTAATCATCTTCCCCGAGTTGGTCCTGAAATTTACAATGGGAATCAAAGAATATGACACGACAATTAGAGTTACGTGAGAATTTACTAACGGACAGCAAATTACAAGCAAGTTTAGGAACATGAAGGACAGAATTTAGTTCAATTTTTTCAGAGATTTGGACAGAACCTGTTCCTGCAATGGATGAGAAACTTCCATCTGCAATTCTGACTTTTTTATTACCTGGACAAGGGTAATAGGATTGAAAAAATTGTGAAGTACCAGTCATATGGTCGGATGCACCAGAATCAATAATCCATGGTGTAAGAGTTAAACCACTAGAGTATGAACTAGGGATGTCGCCTGTTTGGGCCACAGAACCAGTAGGAGTGGATTTCAGCAATTGATGGAGGTGATCCACCTGCTTAGCACTTAGGCAATTAGTCTCTGCTTCCTGTCTTTTTACCATGCCATTCTGATGACAATTTTTTTGATTAAGCAAAGAACATGTCTTATTTCCCAACAATCCAGAATAGTTCTTTCCAGTAGAATGACTGTGAAACAAATCCAATTTATCTAAAGACATGATGGAATAAATAGCCCACCAGATTATCCAAACAAACCACTGATTAAGCTAATCACAATCCACCCCCTATTTTAGTCCAAGCCCAATCAGATTAAATGAATCTAAAATAAAAAACAACACACTGGCCCAATACA